TCATTTTATTTATTTTTCTTAAAAGCGTTAGAAAATGCAAGCACCTTTCCTGGGTTTTATCAGCCATTAAAAGAAAACTTTGAAAATAATTTCCAAACAGAATCGAAAAATAAAACGAGTTCGAAAAATCCCAATAGACACTGCAATCTTCCAGCCACCTGAAATAAAACGGATTTACTTTCCATAAAAAGTTGAACACAAAGTCGCAAACGAGAATAGAAAATATCATTCTGGTTTCTACATGAAAAACGCATAGAATTCTTGAGGCAGGAGGTTTTCCCAAATACAGAAACGCAGAAAAAAAAGGGAATTCTTGTTTCGATTCATCCGACAGGGCATTCCATTCCGGAATAAAATATTGGCGAGGGAAAACGGTGAGATCTTCGCGGTTCGATTCGGCGGGGAATATTGTTATCGGATATGATTTGATGGTTGCAAAGCCCAACGACTGGTCGATTTCAAAAACCAAAAAATAACCTTAAACATGGTGCGCATGGAGATTGTTGGGAATAAGTGAAATACAAATGAAATGAATGCGCACCACATTTAAGGTTATTTTTTGGTTTTTGAAAACGTGGTTTTTTAGATTAATTTTTTAATCTACTATAATTATTTCTTTTAGTGCAATATTCCAGGTACCTCGGTGGACCACCTAGCGTAGCACCATCCGTACAAAACCTTTCCTGGTTTCAAGGCATCATCTCCATTTACAGCTGCATCCATGAATTAAAATATGGAACCAATAATTCACATAATGAAAAGAAAATGCTTCAGTCCACCAAAAATCCCTCATTACCTCTTTCATGAGGCTTTTCATTATCCATAAATTTTCACAATATCTTGCAGAGTCATAGTGGAAGCAAGTGACAAAAAATTGATACGATTCTTCATCAGTAATGCACATGATTTGCAAGTGGTGCTCAAGGTTCAAAAGCAGCGAAATTGAAATTGAATCGAAAGAACTCAATATCAATTATACTTGTAAAATGCTTCAGTTCCTTGAAACGAGAATGCTGACAAAATCTTTGATATTTCAAGAGCATTCGCCGAAACCGAAAAAATAGGCATTGCATTTAATGAAAAAAATTCATCTTTTGCAAATAAGGGTACACTTCATAAAAACCTGACGATCAGCATATTCCATTCGAAGTCAAACTTGACTACTTATCATTTTATTTATTTTTCTTAAAAGCTTTAGAAAATGCAAGCACCTTTCCTGGGTTTTATCAGCCATTAAAAGAAAACTTTGAAAATAATTTCGAAACAGAATCGAAAAATAAAACGAGTTCGAAAAATCCCAATAGACACTGCAATCTTCCAGCCACCTGAAATAAAACGGATTTACTTTCCAGAAAAAGTTGAACACAAAGTAGCAAACGAGAATAGAAAATATCATTCTGGTTTCTACATGAAAAACGCATAGAATTCTTGAGGCAGGAGGTTTTCCCAAATACAGACACGCAGAAAAAAAAGGGAATTCTTGTTTCGATTCATTGCTGTCCCGTAAGGTAAGGCCTTATTTTATAACCGCTCCCTTTTGCCACTCTAGAAGCGCCAAGCTAAGCCGCCCCTTATAACAATAGCCTATACTAAACTACCAACGTTTCGGGTTGCTGACCAGCGGACCGGATGCGAGCAGGTAGGTCGAATTCAACCAGGTTGAAAAATGATCCGAGCAATTTCCAGCGGAAAGGTTCACACACCCGGGGCGACTCGCGGGGGGAAAAAAGCAGGTACGAACAACCCCCCACACACACACGAAAAATTCCAAAGTGCACCAGGTGCAGAAAAATCATTCGACCAGCATCAACTCCTCAAGGCGGGGAGTTTAACAAGAAGCAGCCTTTTTCCTTTGCTGTGGGTCCCCCTCTTCGAGACAAAAAGACGTTCAAGACATTTATTGTCCAAAGGAAAAGAAAATCTCGAAACCCGGGAGTAAATTCACATTCGACTTGGGTAACAATCGGTTGCCATCGGGAAAAACGGCCCGTTCCTTTTCCCCGTCTGTCATCAAGCGCTGTCTGCCTAAAGAACACCTGTAACTGCTGGCATTGGGATTGTTTTTTCATTTATTTTTGCTGGTCGTCGGGGATCTCTTTGAAAAAAAAAAATTTTTGGAGTTTGATTATGTTCCATCTTTTTGCAGGATTAGGGCTCAAATCTGGTCATTTTTAAATTGAAACAGGAAAAAATCACGAATTTTCAAAAAATATTACATTTTCTCAGTCGGAAACTCTGGAACAGAAAGAGGAGATTTTTGGTCGACTGAAAAACCATTGCGACTGTGCTTCGTAAATGACGTCACCCAAGTTCACAATTGATGGAATCCACTTGAAGCAAAACATTTCTGCACCCCAGGAACGCAAATAACGATTGAAAAAAATAAATACTCTTAGATTTGACAATAAATTCGAAAGAATTCTCGTTAAGTTCACTAATACTGCACTCCCATGTTAGTGATAATAAATGTTAAGGTTACCCTAAAATCTAAATTGACGAGCAAGAAGTTTTAAAGTCAGAGGATTAATCATGCAAAAAATCTTGGAAAATTTATACAGGCTTAAAATTTAAAAATAGTTTTTAAAATAATGTACATTAGTCTCACAGTTGTTCAGGCAATTCTATGCGGGGAAATTCTGGTACACAAAGAAGGCCATTTCTGTTGACTAAAAAAGCAATTTGTCTGTCTTTCACGCTTCAATAAGTAGCCCATTTTCACAATTGAAAGAAATCGCATCAATTTTCAAACACTCGGAGAATCTGAAGCATTTTAAAGCTCTCTCGACTTTAGTGCGCAACACAGCTTTCTTCCATCAGAATCTCAGGAATCCGATCAACAGTACAAACAAAGTACTGTACTTCAGCTTCACGAGATTTTTTAAAGTAAGACTTCAAAACATGAAACAAGGGAGGAAAAAGTAGTGTGACACGACCATGGTGGAAAAAAGGGTAAACATCGTGAAAGAAGCTGATTTGTGCCATGGTTTTTTTTGGTGTCAGCTTACGCATTCTATACCCCTTCAAGCAAATCCTTCTTTGTGAGGATTTATGGAATCTGAAACATTTGTAGTTCTTCAGTTGCTTGAAGCATGGCATTACGCAGGTACCACCGAACCATACTTTTTCTGAGAAAAGCGGGGTGAAAGACTCCGAACCCGCGGAACCTATTTTTCTTCACCATGCAGTTCACTGAAGTACAGGTTGGACGGAGAAAGTGGACAGTTTTAAAACCAGTATATCTCCCGAATAGTCTGAGATATCACAGTAGAAGAAACGTCAAATGAGAGCTCGTCCTATTCGATTACTGTATTTGATTCAGGACCAATTATATGGTTTCAATTGATATGGGATGCTCAACCCGCGCATTATAAAAAATATTTACAATACTCGCGGAGAAAGTTGCCACGTGCTTTCTCGGAGGGTTTGAATTACTTTGCATAGACATTGTTTTCGATTCCAGACGTCTCCGAATCATCAAAGAACAGATTAAGCTTTGGCAGTCACATTGAGTTTGATTCGAATGAAAATATAAAGCAAATATCCGAAAAATAAACCTGGAACTCTGAGAACAATGACATCCGGAGTTCCTATTATAAGAGGAAAAACAATTACTGTACAATGCTATTATTCTACACGTGCCAAAAAAAGATTTCCGACGCACCTAAATATTTAATTTTACGAAGACCGCTATCATAGAAAGTATGAAATTTAACTCGGTTTAAGATGTGATGAAACTAAGCTTACACGTCTTCCACATACGATATACAGGCGAAACTTTCTCTCTGTTATGTAATTTATGGGGCAAGAAAAAACTCCCTGTAGAGAGAATTTCGTTGAACAACGAAAATAAAAAATTTTAAGAAACGTATGGGAAAAAGAAAAAAATTCTTTTTACAGATAGGATCGCTGTAGACATAGACGTTGTAGGAAAATTCTGCCTGCAATACATTCCATTCAACTGGTACCACATTTAATGCTGGAAAATCAGCTTCAATTTTTAATTCATTCAATCAGGTTTTCAGAAGTCATGGAGGAACTCATGTTTAAAAAAAATTAGTGCAGCATGTGAAAAATATGTTTTGGGTCAAAACTTTTTTTTTCTGAGGTTCGACCTATGCCTTCTGATAGTTCTTTATAGGATAAAACAGGGCATCTAGTTACATTGACCTGTCTGGAGAGAGTTTATCCCGGGCTGCGCAATTTCTGACGCTCTGGACAGTCATTGCGCAAGTGCTGATTAGTCAGTCGCCTACCCCCTACTACAGCTCCAATTTATGAGCATGGCCCGACTTTTCAAACGAAAGGTCGCCAGCAAATCAACATTCAAAAATAATTTGCCAACCAAACGACTCCTGCTACTACACGATAGTACGACATGACCCGAAAAAAGCTTGCAAAATTTTTTCTTGACCTTTATAAGAGCTAGTTTTTATCACGAAACAGATGAGCAATCGTCTATTCATTCGCTGACAAGGCAAAAAGGGCCTTCGAAAACAGCGACTTATTTTTCCTGGAAGCTTTGGAATTAAAAAAAAAGTTTCCTGAAAAATCGAAGAATGAATCCTTTGAGGTTTCATTGATTAGCTTTACAGTACTTGAAACTAAATTCGTCTGCTTGCACTCAAACATGTTTTTCGAACCATCGAGTTCCTTCTCAGAAACATGGAAACCGAGAAATCCGAGGACAAATAAAAGATGAAACGTTGACAAGAAGACCTATTTAATTTTGCATTGATCACATTAAATTTTGAAACCTTCACGAAATTATCCATCCGTCTCTTGCTACAAATAACAAATAATAAACTGAAAAAACTTCAGCATACAATACATTTATGAAATTATAATAGCACTTAGTCAGCAGGTCATTCACTGTGATTTTTCACTCAGCACAAATCGACCTCCGGAAAAAAATCAGGATGTTTTCACGACCAAATTGCGCAGAATCTGAGCTTTTTTGACATAAAAAACGGTAAATTTCAAAACCGGGCAAGCAATATTTGCTCAATGAAAATTTAAAATTTACTCACCAGAATACCCCGACGAAGGCAGTCAGCACACATCCAACAGGAGCAACACTTCAGTCATTATCCGCCGATGTCACAAAAACCCCGATACACCGTGTTTCACAACGTTGTTTACAGCAGTCCACGAGATAACCTGAAAATAAATTGAGACCATAAAATATAAAGTTTCTAGACCAATCATTCACTGATCCTAGAACCTTGTCCCCCGACATTCCGTAATACACGAACAACACTTTCCCTCCCACTCGTTGTTAAATCCAGCGCTAAAAACACGCGGCTACTATAACTTCGCAACCCGAAGAACATGGGTCATTTCCAAAGCGACCGCAGAGATATAAAAACATAATTCAAGCCCACCAGATTTAATGAACGAGACATTTGCGAAATACCGGTTCCAGGAAATGACATGAGCTCGAATATTAAACGGAGACGAAACAGAACCAGGCAAATTGGACGTGATGAACGCAGCAACATTCACTAATCGGCAGAAAGTTTCGAAAACACACACGTCCACAAAAAATACATCAGGAATCCCAAAAAGAAACCCAAGTTTGATGATGCAAAGAAGAAAAAACAAAAATTTTTAGGAAGCCGAATAAACATTCGCCCAATGACTGAGCCTACAGCTTTCGCAACGAGGCATTCAAAAAACCATGCAATTTAAGAAGCCACCAAAATTTTGTGAACAGCACATTTGACAGGAATATTTTCTAAAATTCCCTGCAGAATCACTCGCGGAGTTCGGCATTCAAATGATCATCATTTTTCTCGAAGATGAATGAATTATTCAGCGAGTGAAGGGTTTTGCACAGCGGTATTTGAAAATGAAAAGGCAAGCGCCATAATATTCACGAGGCCTCAAAGTGCGTTCGAAACAATCCTTTTTCTCTTTCAAAAATATAACCTGAAATAAAAAAGAAAAATCACCGTCCAGTCCGATTTTGAAAAATATCAACGCTTTGTTCAGCGAAAATAAGCTGAAATGTTTGCCCTAAAACTAAAAGAAAAAAAACCGTCAAGTTTTTGCGTTTGATCTGGATTCACGAGGTCAACAAAAATCTGAATTTTGAGGAAACATTTCACCATATCCTCTGCAAACAGAAAACCAGACCAGAAAGCTGAATGAAGATCCATTCAGTCGAAGAACCAAGTTTTGCACGACGACGTCAGAAAAATTCATAGATTTGAATTCAGAACCGCACGAAGATTTGCCATCACGAATCCAAAATTGAGAAATAAAACTTTCGGGTAAGTTTCTTCGTTCAATTTTGATTTACGTAGGAGGCTGAATTTTTGAAATTTCAAATTCTAAGAAAACCCCAATACTGCACAAGAGATAACGTAATACCATAAAAATTTTTAAAATCTGAATGATCCAAAAAATAATTGACACGTTTCGCACTGCCGCGTTCGTAAAAATAAAACCACTCATCCGTTCAGATTCTTCATTTTACAAAAGACCACCAACACTGATTCAAAATCCCGCAGCATCACTTTCGATTTTTTTTTTTCGAACATACGTCTCTCAACCCGTTCCATCTGGATACATTTTCAGGGTTGAATAATATATCAATTCCTGAGAAAAATCCCCAGTCGAATTCTAAATCAGAAATAAACAGTGAATTTTCATCAAGAGCCAGAGTACCCAACAGGTCTCACACCTCTGCGTTGAGAAAAAAAAACAAGTCATGGACTTGCAGTATTGGATTTATTATTCCATCGAGGATCGTCTAGTCTAGACTGAATCGGAATCGGGAAAATATCACTTTCGATCACGTCTCGTTCTGATTGCACTAGATTTACGTGACGAGAAGCTTGAGAGAGTGAGTCAGTCGGCGACGTGGATGTCGATGACGACTAGGTCATGCGGTCAGTGGACAAAAGTCGACACTGCGGCTTTACGACATTTCTCCCGGCGTAACCCGGCTTGAATTCATTCTTCGGAGGCGCGCGGGAAAAAATACCGCGCCACTCCGCATTGGAGGCATTCATTCTTTCTTTCTCTCTTCCTCCTCCACCTTTTTGTGCACATCAGGTCCAAGGATCAAATCCGGATTTCAAAGAAAAGCACACGTGAAAGAAAAATGCGTTCCGAAGCTTTTGCTTGGAGCGATTTCCGCAACTTTTTGCCTTATGCCAACTATGGCCAAGGATCACAAAATAAATAAAAACACAGGCAATCAGCCTTTGGAGCCCAAGAAAACTTAATCAAGGGGTCACCATGAATATATGTTTCTAGTTTTTCAGTAATGTTTTTTCAGCAGATTAAAATAAAATCAAGAATTCAGAAGAACAAACACAATCAATACACACAACAGATGTGAATCACAAGATCAGATCACATAAATGAAAATCACAGATTTGTGCACAAATCAGCAAGTAAAAGAAAGGAGAAGACTGTCCTTCAAAAGTTCAGAACAGACTGCTTATACAAATTCAAAATAAAAAGGCGTTTATCACTTTTTTTGGAATTGTCTGGTCAGGTGATCTGACCACAGAATTTCAGAATATTCTTTCGTATTTCCTTGCCTTTGATTGGCCTAAATAATAAAAATTGAAGAAATCAACATGTGTACGAGCTTTCAGAGGTAAAATAAACTCAAGCACTTAAAGAGACAATCACACGTAGACTAAATTATGTAATTATCTTGATCCTTATAAGTAACTTTTTTATGGCGCGGTGAGGCTTAACCTCCGTAAGTAAGAATCTTTCTCCTCCTCCACCTTCTCATGCATATCTTGGTCCTGAGTTCATCAGGTCCAAGGATCGAATCGGTGTTTTAGAGAAAAATACACGAAAGAAAATATGTTTGAAAATTTTGCGGGAAGATATTTCCGTACTTCAATTACAGAGGCAGGAAAGAAATATTTTGTATATGATTCGGTCACAGTCACATGAAAACTCTACCGCACTCTTCAAATAATCAAGAGATTCCAGAGTGATGAGAGGAGAAGATACCAGGACATATCATTGGCTTTCTAATTTAATCAATTGGCAATGATATCAGGAATGTTGAATTGTTGCGTATATTCTGTATTTTATTGAGTGTTTAACTATTTCGAGCTCTGTTCTTGCGTGAATTGGAACTAAACAATTTTAAAAAGTGCAAATGATCACGGAAAATACCTCTTACATATTTGCTCTCCGCTGTAAAACTGACTGATTGACTGTCTTATTTATTTCTTCCACAGCACAAAAATCTTACTGCCTTCTTCTTGAGGCACTGGCGCAGCTGCAACGAAGATTTTAGTTTTGGATAAATCAAAACACAATTTCCAGTCTGGGATGGACCAGCAATTTTCAGTAATATCTTGGAGTAATGTTCGGTTGATCATACAGTATTTCCAACAATCAAATCAGCATTTTCCAATCACACATTTTCACCAGAGTCTTAGTCTTACACGTCCCTACTACGTTAAAAACAGTAAAAGAAGTTAAAGAACTTGGGGTGGACTTACAGAGTCACTGGGTTTTTACGAGGGAGTCAACCGAAAAGAGCGTAAAGACGTATTACAATGATGAACTTGTGTTTCGGCTCGTGACACAAATTTAACCTCGAAAGGTAAGCGAGTTATACAATATATTTCTGACCTAGAGTCTCATCAGCTGAAAAAAAAAAAAAATAGAAACTCCAATGCAATCCGGACAATGGATGCAAGGTGCATACGATAAGATGATCAAAGAGCACCCACTTGCCCACACAGGCAGTCATGGTGGTGTTGCGACTCGGGAGAGCCATAAAAAAAGGTCATTGCACTGAAGGAATACATCTCATGTGAATGGCTCTTATGACTAGCCCACGCAACCTGACCTGTGCAACGTACTGTTGATGCGGTGGTTTGTTGTACAAACGGAAACCTTCAGCAATTATTCCTTCTTATTTCCTCTGAGACATTTGCCCTTTTTTTGTTTCACACGAAGGCATTCTTGGATACAGGCACACCTCTTTTGCATTGTGTCGTTGAAAAACAAGTCGCCGTGTCTAATGGTAAGTGTCTGTGTCGGATTTGAAGAGTTACTCGGTGGAATCTATGTTCAAGTCCCTATACATAAGCCTAGAGGTTCCAGCACAAGTTCAGTTTGGTTAGTTCTAGGTGACGTAACCTGAAATACTGTAGGAAAGGTAGGGAGCAGGTTGTACTGGGGTTGTTGGAGTGACCGAGTACGCTTTTATTGAAAATAATTGTGGAACATTTCGCTCGCGCGAATTCAAGTAGAAACGAATTGCCCCATAAATGCTCTAATTGTCCACAATAATGCAGTGCTCCGCAGTTATTCAATTAAATCATTAAAAAACCCCTTTACAATTTTAAAAAATGCACTAAAGGTCTAATCAATTATGGATTCGAAGAATACTTGATTTTTTTAAATAAAAAACTTCAACTTGCGCGGTAAGTTTAGTCTCACTCAGAGCATAATCTCATTTTGAAAGTTTTACTACGTTCGGGACAGCATTTCTCTATGGAACCCGAATAGTTACTTAAACTTCAATCCACTAACAAAAGAAAATAAAAAATTGATAACTGCAGTTGAAGTAAAAATGAGAAGAGGACCCGCTGAACAGCTCCATATGTTCAAAAGAAGGGAGAGGCTTTATGTGATGCTTTACAATTGAATTTGGTGAGATTTTTCAGTTTCAGATTGAGTTTTATTCCCAGGCACAAAATCATCGATTTCCGTAAATCAGTGACACAACTTCACCTAGAATTTATTTTCTGTAGTCAGCAGAATTTTTCTGACTTCTCCATATGGCGTCACTTTGAAGTCGTGGTCTCACTTTTTTTTTTGCAACCGAAATCTGCCTTTCCCACGCGAGCTTTATTTCATGCGCCAATTCCATTTTGATTGTCCAGGTTGGAAGTTTTTTTCTTTCGCCTTGCTTCATTTGTGGGATAATCTGGGGGCATTTAACAGAAGCGAACAATGCGAGACACATTTCGTAATGGTCATCATTGTTAAGTAATCCTAGAAGAGAAATAATTCCACGTAATTCGTCCGGAATGTTCGGCATTCCACCAGACGCATCGCTCATGCTTCGTCTTTTAAGTCATCATGAATTATGTCTAGCATTTTGAAGACTCATTCGTGAGCTTTCAAAGAACCTTGCATAAGACTCGTAACTCAAAAATTCGAGTGACTTCGGATCCTGTC